TTTCTTAAAGATGCTGCACCTGGAATCCAAGAGCTTACTGATTTTTGGTAATTATACGGCAAGCTGCTGGAATAAGTATTTCGTTGCTGATCGATCAAAACATAATTTTGACTTGCAGTTACATGAATACAGTATTGCTAGTTGTACTGTTGGAGGTGGAAGAGGCGTTCATCTGAGAAATGAATCCCATTATGATGAAATTTCGGAAAACCAGGAACCTCATCTCTGAGTAACGGTCATACTCTTCTGGCATAAATGTTTAAACACACTGCACAACTCATCTCTTGAAATAAACTGAGAAGTGCGGCCGTATGTGAATTTTATCACTTTTGGGCGAAATTCATTTCCTAATATACTACTCCAATCAATCTTTAATACTCTAAATCTTCATCAAATTAAAAAACTAGTTGATCTGCCAACATTATTCTCAATCTTACATAGTAAATGATTTGTTCTAAAAAATATTTTTATTGACTCTTCAATGAAATATTGAAAAACATTGTCCATGGTAAGTCATTTTTTAGGAAGTTCATACCAAACACATTTTGATTGCAGAATGTGGAACTATGTTTGTGTTTCATCATCTTAGTGCTTGTGATTTTGTCGATGGAATTGTTTCAGTGGCACGGCAATCTCTGCAAGGGGTCGCAAACCGTAAAATTTTCTGACCAAACGATTGACCTGCAGTTGCCTCTTTTTTATTCGTGCTCATCTTGGCATGACCGTTATTGTGTTGGCTGACACCATTGTTGAGATTAGAGTCATTGATCCCTGATCTCTTGCTGTTGTTTCCTACTGAATTAGATTGCTTGAGCGATTGAGCTTGATTCGGCTGTGGTAAGAGCTGACCCTTGTAGAACAAAATATCAGCTGGGCAGTTACTATTAATTGGACACACAGTTGTTGTGTTCTGAGTTACATGACCAAATTCAAATGATTCCTTTTTGGCTAGAGATGAAGGGATGTTATAATTGCTCTGTGCTTGAACCGGCGGTAGATCCTGAATACACACCAAGCCTGTAAAGGAGAGTGAATCGCCTGATACAGAATCTCTGGCATCATGAACTGGTGACTTTTTCTTCGCCATATTTGCTGCTTTGATATTGTTTTAATGAACAACTGGGATACCAGACTCTGGTCTTTTATACACACATTGGTCCCTCGATAGAATTGTAAATTCCATTCTCTGTACAGAAATGGAGCCGTTTGGAACCAACATTGAAACTGACTGCAACATTAAGGGTGTGTTTGGTACGAATGAAAACATTTTCCGGAAAATATTTTTCAATTTTCCCATGTTTGGTTGGCTTAAATGTTTTGAAAAATATTTTCCTTATCAACTCATTTTCCTTCAATTGGAGGGAAATATTTTCCAAAACTCTTTCTCAACATTTCCCACCCCCCACCAACTCCCCCCTCCCCCTCTCAAAAAATATTTTTTTTTTAATTTCAGTTTTTCTGTTACCACCCACCCTACTACCCTTCCACCCCACCCCTCTCGCTAAAAAAAAAAAATCACCTTATTCTTTTTTTTTGCAATTTCAAATTTTCTGTTTTTCGTTTTCTGCACCACCCACCCCCACTCTCCCCCTACCCCTACCCCACAGACCCCCCCCCCCCCGGACAAAAAAATGTTTTTTTTTATTTTTTTTTTATAATTTCAAATTTTTGCTTTTTTCATTTTCTGCCGCTCACCCCACCCCCCACCCCCACGAAAAAATATTTTTTAAATATATTTTTCAGTTTTAGTTTTTTTTTATCGGTTTACAAGTACCAAAGTTATGAGTTCGGAATTTTATGTGTTTGGAAGTTTACGGGTTTAGAAATTATAAAGTTTACGGGTTCGAAATTCCGTGGTTTCAAAAGTTTATGAAATTTGTGGATTCGGAAGGTTGTTAGTTTGAAAGTTTATGGCTTCATGTTTATTATATCTAAATTATTTATGAATAAGATTACCCTCCCCAGACCCCACCTGTTGGGATCAAACTGGGTTTGTTGTTGTTGTTGTTGTTGTCTTGAGAAGTCATTTTCCTTAATTTGCGTACCAAACACCGGAAAATGAATAAGATTACTACTTATTTTCCAAGAAAACATTTTTCACGGAAAACATTTTCCGTTATACCAAACACACCCTAATTTGGTATATTTTAGTTGTACATTTGTTGGTAGTCACTTTCTCAGTTGAATCACTGTGATGTGGAGTTATATGATTTTGAGGATATTACAAAGTAAAACTGAAAATGAGAGTGATGAGACATTTTTGTGTTGCCCTTGGTTTTGTATTTTCTGATAACTTGATTCATTTGTTGGACCGTCCTAGCTCGAAGGAACAGCGTAGTTATCGACTAATTTTGACCCAAAGTCTTGCGACAAGTACAAATATTAACAGACAAATTATACGTTAATAACATAAGGGATAGGGATGAAATTGGAAGTAGCTTCATACATGACCTTGTGAATAATTAGTAATCCCCAATCTCATTTTATATGACTATTTGATTGGATAAAGTTTAAGATAGTTCGATTTGTTTTAATTATGTTAGCGGTAGTAAAAGAATAAATTATAAAATAATGGTTGGAAAAATAGCTTGACAGAGAAAACACCATAATGTCAAGTCGACACGCTTGATGAATTTGAATTCTTCGAAATTCTGTAAATTATTTAGAACAATATTATTAGCAGAACAATATCAACATTTTAGATCGTCCAAAACTAAAAGTTTATCGTAGAAATGACACTAGGTAGCCATATTAAAAGACTACTGTCTAGAAATTAGTCGGTGCGTTTTGAATTTTAATTTTCTTTTAATTTTTCAGGATAAAAATATTTTGAATTGTCCTGAAGTTAAGATTTTTAATTTGAAATTTTAGAACAAAATAAATACGGGCTAATTTTCAAATAACATCCGTGAGAATGACTATCTATGCTGTGTGACGATGGGAGTACAAGGTCTCTCCAATGTGCCGGGAGTATAAGGTCTCCGATGGGCCGATCACTAAACGCTTACGGGCCTCTTTTTTTAAGTCCGACTATAACACTAAGGCCTTTGCTAGTAATAATGTAGAACTTTTTTTTTTTTTTTAGCCCGTGCCAGAAACTATTTACATTCGATAGCCGAAAAAGGGTAAAATAGCACGGGCTAGCTAATTTTCGGATTGGTATTGAAAAATAGCCAGCGTTTGCAAAGTCATTGAAAAGTAATCACTATTTTGCTGCAACACGGAAAGTTCCAGCATAATATACTGGAGATTGGAGCACTTGTGTATGAACTTCCAGCAAATTATGCTAGAACTCCAGTATATTATGTTGGAAGTTTACATGTAAAAAGTTGGAACTCCAGTATATTATGCTGGAATTATTTTCGAATTTTGAACAATGTTTTAGTTCAGATTTATCTTTACATGAAAAGTGGCTAAATTTCGATTACTTTTGAAACTGTGGCTATTTTTAATTACCACTTGTCAATCTAGCTATATTTAAACTTATTTTTCTACGTAACATACAAAACATATATATATATATATATATATATATATATATATATATAATATATTATTTTTCGATTATTATTTTGAGAACGGCTATACATTTTTATTTTTCCAATAATGTACCCCGTTCCTCTTGCTTATGTGACACCAATTGATTGCAAGCCGAGTTTAACATATTCAATGACTATCAAATTCGATAATCGAACATAAAATAGAAAAAAATATCTGAATTCCAGCATATGTGAGAATTATATTATTAGTAAATTGATGTCAAACATTTTGAAACTTAAAGAGTATAGAAAAAATGAGATTCAAATTAGGACAACCGAAGAATTAATTAGCTTAAATAATCTTCCTGAGAGAACTATTAAAATCTTGATTATTAGAAAGTTGATAATTTTACCCGAATCAAATTACCAACGTCAGTGAAAATCGCAACATGATGATCTGTTTACCTCGTTCATAGAATATGATCCCAAAACCAAACCAATAATGATACAAAATATCTCATTGTTATAAGACCAAAATTAATCCCATCATGGTGGCCCCACGTTCTATTATTTATTTTTTCTTTTTATAACCAAAAGAATACGACAATATATATATATAATTTAAATAATCGGACACTTGGATAGCAACCCATAACCTGCTCAGCCTCATGGGTCCCACAATTTTGCTTAGTCTTCATCCTTATCCACCTTTTGCTTCCAATAAACACTTCCAATTTTTCTTTCTTCAGACTTTTATTCTATACGAGGCAACACTTGCTTGCTAAAACACACTAAAATTTGGAAAAAAATACTATAATTAAATAGTTTTTGAAATAAAAGTTTTAGTACTATTTATTCTGCCAATAGTCAATAGATATAGGAAGGAAACGGTGGGCGCTCTCGAGTATAGAACCTAGAGTCCGTTTTAAGTGTTCTTAAACCAAAATAAATTTTAAGTTATTTTATAGTATTTAAATAAAAATAAAATAAAAATTTAAACATTTATTTTCAAGTTAAAATAATTAAAAATAAGCGAAAAGCTAAAATTTCTAATTTATGACTTAGGCTTAAAAGTCACAAAGAGACAGCCATATTGATTGTGGTACTGTTGATTAAGGCTCCGTTTGGCCATGAGTTTTGTCAAATAAATTTGGGATTTATTTTCAAAACTCATGTTTGGCCATAAATTTTGCCCATATTTTGGTCAAATCCCAAATTTCAAATCCCAAAATCAGCTATTGGGCCAAAATCCCAAAACTTGGGAATTATATACATGTTTTTCCGAAATAAAGTTGGAAAATATATTTTGAAAACGTATGTCCAAATACATTATCATCTTCAAACCAAACTTCACCCAAATCAGATTTTTCAAAACAAATTTGGGATTTCCTACCTTCCAATTTGACACTTGTAAGTAGTACAATTAATGTACGGAAAATAAAAAAGATAAACTGTAGTTAGAGATTTGAGTAGGAGATATTTTTGAGTGTCAAAAGACACTCTATATATTGGAGCACGCAACATTTAGCATTTACACCACAGACTTAGAAAAACTCAAGTCTGACTACAGAATAGTGAAGTAAGAGAAAGAAAGATCAGAGAGAAGATGGTGTTGATTGATAAATTATGGGATGATGTTATGGCTGGACCTCAACCTGATAATGGCCTTGGCAAGCTCCGAAAAAGCCTCACTGTTCAAACTGGTACTCCTATATATAATTCTCAAAAGCATATAGTACTCCTATAATATATATACAGGCAATGAGTTCCGTTGAATTCAAATTGATCCTCATAAATATCTAATTAAAGATAAACTCAAAGTATATATACAAACAGAATCATAGATCCACTGACTTAATTAAAATTCTGAAGTTTCTTATACATATGTTTTAAAGGATATATATTAAAACAGATGCTGCCATGCAATATGTTTTGGATATATAAATTAAAGTTTTCATTTGTTGTTTTCTTGCTTTAATTTATGTGATGTTTTGTTATGAATATGGAGTAGGGGGGGAATCTGGAGAAGGATCTAGCAAGTACCAGAGGTCTCTCTCGATGCCGACCGGTCCGCCGACGCCAGGAACGCCGGCGACACCAACAACTCCGTCACCGACGGCAAGTAAAGAAAACGTATGGAGGAGTGTTTTTCACCCAGGAAGCAATATTGCCACCAAGAGAATTGGTGCTCAAGTCTTTGACAAGCCTTCTCACCCTAACGCTCCCACTGTTTATGACTGGTATGTTAATTGTTACGTACACGGTACATGATTCAGATCACATAACTCATGAACTTTTGAAGTTCTTAAATTTACTGGGATTCCGATGACAGGGATATTCTTTTTAATTTGTTAAGTTGTCAAAGAAAGATATACAGTATTTAATTTGTTTTACTGGGTTTCTGATCGATGGACGATGATCGAAATGATTTTGATGAAGTATCATTTGGTTTTGTGTTAGTATTTTACACTGTCACTTCAATCATATCACAGTTCCTACAGATCGCGAGTATATATCGATTTTAACCTGATAGCGTACACCGTCAGTTTAGAGTACTTAACTCTTAAATTTTTAATGGCAGGCTCTACAATGGGAACACCAGATCTAAGCATCACGAGAAGTGCTGAGAGTTTTTGGGTGGCAACAAATTGAAACCTATGTAAATAGTGTTTTTTCCTGTTAGTTGCTTCGCTAATGAAGCATGGATTACTGGACTTTTATCTTTATTTCTGTTGTGTATTAAGCAACTAGTAGTATGTTTTAGTTTGATTTCGCAAGCTAACTTGAGCTTTAATGGCCATCAGTGGCTTTCCAGCTCCAAATGCTGCTGCTACTACTACTGTATGTTTGTGGTAGACCACTGTTATGATGTTTGTTTTGTGTATTAAATATCTGTTATAAATATTGTGATGTTTTTGTTTTGTTATTATATGGTCAAGCGTAATTATCCTTTTGCAAGTTCATGTTTATCTGTTTTCAATTGGAGTAACAATTATTCTTATGAAACTTGGCACGGGCCCATTGTCCACTCTAAGCATTGGAAAAGTAGGAGATTGAATTGTCAAATAATGTGTCTTTTGGTCTTTTTACTTTTGTCTAAAATAAGTAGTATCATTTTGCATAATCAAAAAAGAATTAATTTTATTTTTCTAAAATTTATCCTTATTTACATATTCCAATGTATCAAGGTAATAATTAATTAAGGGTACTTTAATAAATACATTTTTTCTTCTAGGAATTTGCATTTTCTTAAGGAGTACCAAACAGAGGCGGACCTATGTGCAGTGTTGAGGAGTCACCGGATTCCGTAAACTTCGGCAGAAATCTTGTTTATGTACATGCGTATATTTTGAAAATGATTATATAAATAAGTAATTGGCACCCTGAACACTAAAAGCCTTTAACTGGTTGAGCAAAATAGTGGTGTCTTATCATGTTAAAATCCTGGGTCCGCCTCTAGTGCTAAAAACTAAAAAATCCTCTTATTGTGGATAGGAGAGAGTACTTGTTGTTAAGAAGTGTCACAGTTTTAAAATAATGGAGATTTCACTGTCAAAGAATAAGGTTCGAGATATTTGTTCCCGCAACCCGAGTAAAACAGTAAAGGAAGAACAATTTTGTTAAGATCCACCATACTCTCGTTTACCATTCCCTTTTAACTGTTCACAGAGGATAGGAAAGAAATCTAAAATGGCTTCCTTTCCCTTTCCCAAAGGTTATACAAAGAAAGAGAAAACTGGCTGATCTACGTCGACATTAGATCATCATCTCCTACGTACACGAGATGGATGTGTTGCATGGCCCAAGGTTTTCCTAAAATGAGACTGTTTTGGGTAAAACAAGGTAGAGACGCAAACAAAAGTCTCAATAAGCACCTTCCTAGCAAAGCATGAGACTACGAATAGACTTTTAGAAATAAATCAGCAGACTTTCTTGGATTGTAATGCCTTTAAGCAAGAGACAGAAGCTAAGGTTAATTCATATACTAGTTGCAAAGGAAAGGTTCAAGTCCTCTTTATGATTGTTATAAGTCTATAACCAAGAAAAGAACAATATGGTCGCGATTAGTCAAATGTGACACAAGTAGCACCATTCTAATCTTAAAAATTGAAGCACCAAGGCAAAATCTTGGCTAGTTAAGGCTATATTTAAGCACTTGGATCACATTACATGAAACGAGTGAATAAAGAGGTAAATAAATCGTTACACTAATGTGAACTTCAAGGTGCATAACTGACTGATGTAGTTGAAGGGATTATTTCCTGGATAATGAACTACATCTGTGTATGATACACCTTACTAAGCTACTTACTTTCTATACGGATTTACAGATACGCCCCAGTTGAAATTACACTTCTTTTCGGGTATTATATTCTGTGTATATTCAAATTACACGGTCACCTTCCCTTCATCATGGTCTGTCCTATTCTTTGACTTGCATCCGTATGCTAAGATCTGAAAGACAGCATGCGAATTAGTATACTCAAGATAAAGCCAAGAAGAAGAGTATCAATGGAATATTGTGGAATCTTTCAGGAACAGTGTGTGTTGACTAAAGGAGGAGCACAATATAACGCAGCTATTTGACTATCAAATATAAGATTGTCTAAAGTTGGGCCTTCATGTCCAATTTTAGACCAGTGTTGTCTTCTTTTTTTTTCTTTTTCAGTTGTAATTCTTTCATTTTGGTAATGAAAATAGTTGCCCCAAAAGAAGAAGAAAAAAATTGTCGACATGTTTGTGGAATAGTTTACGTTGTCTTACAGGGAGCTTACCAGATTACGCTGGTTAAAACCACACATCTCTTGGATTTCCCCTAATGTCTGATGCTCGTTTACCGTATGGATTTCAATACAAGGATCTCCAACGAGTTTGGGAATAGCCATGATATCAGAACTTGAAGAGTTGTCACTAGGGTTAAGCTCTTTTATCAGCACTATGTCAATTTTGCCGACTTCTATGGACGTTTGCTGTGCTACATACTGCATAGAGTATACATTCAAATGAAGCATGCAGACATAAATTTTCCTGGTAATGATTTAGGTTTGTAAAGTGTGAAAAAGGTTTATGGTGGTACACTTACTTGGCTCAAATGTTTAACTTCCATAGTGGGCCGGCAGCAAAGGTAAGGTCGTTGCAAACATGGTATATCTTCTTCAGACATGGGAACAAGTTTCAGTCTGACATCCAACTGAAAGAAAACAAAATATTTCCTTTAAGATCCATGGCAAAACCAAAAAAATCCATCTATATCACCTCAGTCATAGAAAGCAACAAGCAAATAGCAATAGTGTATACTTCCTCTGTTCCCTTTTACTAGTCCCTTTCCCTTCTACTTGTCTATTTTAGCAAATCAAGAGAGAATTATTATTTTCTTCAATATTACCCTTAGTATTAAGTACCCACACTCCTAGTTACAACTTAAATAAGCATTAACAAGGGTAACTAAGTAAAATAAACCCTTAATAAATGATTTCATAAGGGGTGTGCCTAGTCAAATAGAGGACTAGTAGAAAGGAAAGGAGGGAGTATTAGATCATCTCAAATGTACAGAACTATTCAGAAAACAATATCTTTCAGGCTCAACCACAGACAGGAAATATTCAAAAGTATAGCATCCAATTGGTACATAGGATTGATTTGCTGTACCTTCCCTTCATTTTCATCTGAACAAGAAAGACGATCAATTAGCTTTGAGACTCGGCTATTCCTGGAAAATTTGCCAGTGCCTCCCCCAAGACCCCCATGTCTCGTGTTACTTCGCATGCCACCTTTTCCCCAGGCAAGAATCTCTGAACAGCGAATAAGTCCACTACATGCGCCAAGTGATTCTTGGTTTATTTCTGCATCATTTTCGTCACTAGCTGCTGAAGCCTGAGAAGGCCGTCCTCCCCTCTTTTTGTACCGTTTTGGTTTGACTTCTATCGAGCGCTCATCAGCAGAGGAAGAATCTTTGCCAATATCATGATTACCATCTTCCTCCTCATCAGATATCTGGTGTTCAGCACCCTGAAAATTTCTTCTTCCCCTTAAACTTCGATAGCGTCCCTGAGATCTCCTCGCAAAAGCTGCTGCTGTAGCTCTAGCGGTCCGTTTCCTTCCCAGTGCTTCTGATTGTCGCCGTAATGTCTGTGCAATTGAAGCTTGTATCTGTTCAAAGAGTATGAAAACTATGAATTGGTGCAAAAAGAAAAGCAAACTCGAGTAGGCATGTGATTCGGTTGGCTGCAATGCAGGCATTCAGGTGGTGATTCAGATCAATGTGTTTCAAAAAATACGAAATACCCAATGGTCCACATTGCAATAACCTAAAGTCCCCTACAGCAGAGGATAAACTTCACCCAAATTCAACACTGCAATAGATATAACCCCACCAATATATATTGAGAGAAATGTACACTTCTCTTTGACATTGCACGTGGAATCAACCACACCTCCATTACGAGGGCGTATCTGACAATTTTACAGGAACGAAGAAGATCTGCTGTTGAAGTCAATAATCTGCATGGAATACAGCTCTGACGCTGAACTTGGCATTGGCTTACCTGCTTATTCCGAGCTTTCTCCTCTTCATGAAAAGCCAATTCCTGAGTGATACACAAAAGAGTAAGTCCATGGCCTGAAACAGGTCAATGGTAGACCTTTTCCATGAGACATACAAGAGTTTAAGCATAGTAGTACCTCCTCTTCATATTTATCAATATCTGGATATAGAAGGGAAATTAGAGCATCATAGTTTGGATCATCTCTCAGAGAACGGCGACTAGCACAGTGGGTACGACAAGCAGGACACTCATTGTTCCTAAAATATAATTGACATGTTGAACTGGATAAGCAAACGCAGGTTACTTCTCAACTAATGAAAGATAAGTTTAGCACTTAGCAGGTACCCCATTCGCATAGATTTGTCAATGCATTCTCTACAAAAGCGATGCAAGCATTCCATAACTGTTCTGGTCTTTCGAATAATGCCTGCCCATGTCACAGTGGTAAACCGGTAAGTAACAGTAGGCAGTAGGCATACATTACAGAAACAGAGATTTATCACTATGTTCTATAAGAGATCCCCCCATATAGCTTGAATCATAGTTAAAATAGCTCCTCTATTAGATCATCAGGAACTAATGTAGCTCTCCTTTTCTTAGTGAATATGTGTTAACGATGTTTTCTCAGATAAGTGATATCTTTCCCCTGATGGCTCTGCCATTAAAATTATATGTTCCTCAATCAACAGGAAGAAGCATGTACCGGATCCAGATAGTAGATCCTAATCATAATCTGAACGACAGGAAAATTTTATGTAGGCAACTTAAAAATATTTTCACATATATCAGTTCCTAACAGGAAAGAGAAGCCCCAATTAGCAAAGTTTCTTGCAGAGATGAAGCAGAGACTGCAAATTGGGTTAATAGAGAAACATTTACTTCATAATATAGAGCTGGAAATGCTGTTTCATTAGGTACATAAAAGGAAGGTAGGTTAACTCCTTGCTTCCGACCAAAATCTCCATTTTATTGATACTGCCTTTCAAAAATTGGATAGAGAAAAAGGATTTTTAACATAGCCGTCCTCAGATTCCCAGTCTCAATGAGCCATGTTTGTCATTTCACTAAACAAAATCCAGAAACTGCATGAAAAAATAACTTAGAGATAGTTTTAAGCTTTTAGATAGAGAAAAATAAGTAGAACAGTTGAATGTGATCTTTTCTTAGAATCTCATATCGGGCTTAAAGGAATTCATTAGTAATCCCGGGGGGGAACTATCATAACATTTACACATAACTATAGATGAGAGCTTCACATTCTCCCTCTCCCAACCTCTACCATATGCAAAGGACAATGAAGGCAGCATATTTATGTGCATCATGACTTCCAAAAACCACATATCCTGACATGCATTTTTTTACGGTTCTTTGAAATGCAGTATTTAATAAGGTGGTACGACCATAAACACGTCT